TTTATATATTTTTATTCAATCCTGTAAAGGGTGACCTTGGTCACTGTTGGACTTCGATGAAATAAAATTAAAAAAAAAACAATAACCGTACTACGCTAGTCACCTGGTACGAACAATACAATGGTCGAAAGCCAGTAACATAGCCTACATACCTACCTTAGCGACCGCCTGTACGTGACGTCACAAAGGCGCTACAGCCCTCATGTTACGTAATTCATTGAAATTCAGTACTGGTGGGAGACAAAACCTATACTCTCCCGATTAATGTCATATAAATACGATAAAAGTGTGAGCGAAAATCAAACACTTGGAAAATTGTTAGTAATAAAATAAAAGTGAAACCAACACCTTACTTTCCCTTTCAAAGTGAGGCCTCAAACAAAACACTTGTTTATAGTCTTTGTATAGGTAGATTGAAACAGACAGCCTCCTCATAACATGCCCACGTATAGGCCATGGTGACTGAACGTATTATGACACCTATATAATTAAATACATTTAATTACATACATATAATGATATATACACACATGACATGACATATATGACATGACATCCCTAATATATTCTAAAACCTTAACTAGCCAACGATACTTACCCTTCAAAGCACTCTAAACAGGTAGGCCTACGCCCATCCTCCACGGCTAACTGAAGTGTATAATGACTTTGCGGCGACTATTGGCCTGAAGTTGCTGATTTGGTAGAACTATACATTAAATGGTAACAAATTCTTTGTGCATACATGGTATGGCTGTTGTGAAATGGTAGAAACATTCTCTGCATGAATTGATGTGTATCCGTTGGTTAATAAGTACAATATAAGATACATAAACAAACTATAAAACGTTAGACAAAACAACTATATATAATTTCCGGATGTTATGCTTATGCAGACCACGTAGGAAGCTCTTTATTTTGTTCTCAGTTGATTGTTTTATCGATTGATCACTTTCAAGGAGAAGGCAAGGGTTCTGCAATAGCGCGCAGTGTCTGCCGGGGCGCGCGTGTGTGTGTGTGTGTCTTTTGGTGTGTTTGTGTTTCCGGGCGCATAATTCAAAACTATACTAAACCGATTAACTTTAAAGTTTCACACGTTGACCATGTATCGCGGTCTTTCTTAGATTTGGTGCTAATTGAAAGTAAAATGTAGATTTTAGATCGTTAATGTTTATATATTTGACTTGAAGCAGTCCGGACGGCGTGCAAGTCCGATTGATGGGCTTGTCACCTGAGGCATAATATGGTGCTAGGCTTCGTTTGGCGGATGGATTAGAGAAGTCAGATGCAGATTTTAGAATGTTTCAAATAATTTCCAGCTGCATATCTTACAATCTGATGTCCCAATTTTATTTAAAAATATAATTGTAAATAATAATAAAATACGAGAAAAAAAAGCAAGAGCGAGATTCGAAAATTCTCACGTCGGTGCATGCATAAAACGCAATTTCCTAAAATCTGGATTTATGAGATTGACAGTGAATCGCAATTATCTGTACTATCTATGCTAACGAGTGGATTTCCTAATGATTGAAGGAAATAAACGTATATTGAGCTGCTCAAAGTTTAGAGGGTCTCAGAAGTTAAAAAGTTAAAAGAGAGGACTTTCTTATGCTGTGGTCATATTAGACCGTAATATCATTAAAGACCATTCAATAAACAACATAAAACACATCAAAATTATTAAGTTAAACTTTCCAATTCGGTGCATGAATATTAACGTAATTTTATGGACATATGAGATTTACATGCGAATGTACTGAATATAAAATCTTAAATATTTTACATTTTAATCAGTAGTTTATCAGAAATACTGGGACTGGTTAATATACTGTAAAGCCTTCGGAACCTCTGCAACACTAAAACTGCGATCCAACAGGCAGTGACTATTCCATTTTGATTAAGTGTAGGTGTTATTTACATGTTTTTATTTTATTTGTATTCTTTTTATTTTGTATGATCCATTTGTTATATTTTCCACAGACAGATAAATGAATGTCTGAACTGATATTTTATGGGTTTCATATTACTTTCTATACAAAAGAGATATCATAAATCATATAACTATTGTCCGACTGTGTGTATTGAACATTTTGACGATAATTTGATGATAATGTCGCCAGATTTCCAACCGTAACTCAGGCTACGGGCCTCGCTTGGACACTTCACATCAAGGACCTGTTAATTAATCTTGCTTCCTTCTCATCATCATCTTCTTCTTCATCATATTTATTAATTGTCCATAGTAAAGTAGGAAAAAACTATAAATTCAGAATTTATTCAATAATAGACGTCTCATAATGCACGAAAAATGCACTTGACATTCTTTAAGAGAAGTGCTTTAAAAAAAGGTATATTACCAGTATATCTATTTATAGAAAAAAATGTTGCATACTAGAACTATTAGGAATAAATATACAGATAAAGGCATGGTTTTTTTTCTTGTCAGTTGACTAGGTAATTTAGTGAAGAAATGAATACTAAGTCGTGGGCAAGTGTATAAGGGAAACTTTTAGGTAAAATTTTAGGGAGGAAATATGCTGAGGCTTGGTTGGGCGTCGTTCAAAATAAAGGTAGGAGAATAACCCATAACTTGCAGATCATTGTGCTGAATTGCGTATGGGCGTGGTCCGCGACTACCTAGCAGCCGTAAAGAAGAGGCGCTTCTTGGTAGGTACATGTTCACATCATTCCACAACGACAGGGACTGAAATGAACCATAACATCGGGGTAATCCTCTACTCTTCCGAAAGATGCAATGGGTTCTTTAAAGTGCACACAAGCCAGATGTATACACTGGACCTCCATTTTGTTTAAGTCCTTATCCGAGAAGACTTGGTTCTACCAACCGAACCATGGGAGAGGAGCGGCTGGAACCAGCGCCGATGTTAAGGGTAGCTAGCGACGCCCCTGCCTTACCGCTCGGCCACTCAACTCTAAAAAAATTAATTCTTGTAATAACGTACTAGTTAAATTTAATATAATGTGTCATCATATACATCACTCGATAGATAATTTCAATAGCTTTCGTATGACACCAAATATATTCAAATTAAATCTAAAACTGACGGACTAGCTTCGAAATACCATTTTTGGATAACAACGTGTAAAATTTGCCTTTTTTTGGTCAAATTTTACCATTTCCACTAAATAGATTTTTGCAGATTATTGATATATTATTCCTCAATAAATTCTCAGTTGAAAACAATTATTCTCATTACTATTGCAGGCAGTGAGGTCATATATGAGCAAGCATAATATAAGAAAATTCACAAGCGCCCAATGCTATCCAATTTACCCTAATAATTTAATTCAATTACAAATTTCTAGAAAAGGATGCAACTTTTTTTTACCATACTCTGCTCAATTCAAAAGTTGCCGTGTAATTCCAAATGGGAAAAAAATATTAGTTTATTGAGTTTACTGACAAACAGTGGGAAGTGTTTAATATAATACCAATCAAATGCACAGAGAGTACGGATCTGAAATGGTTGCAGTATAGAATTATACATAATAATATTACCAACGAGAAATTATCTCTATAGATTAAAGTACATTGATTCACCATTATGTATTTTTTGTAAGCAATTTCCTGAAACAATTGACCACATTTTTTTGGGATTGTGAAAAAATATATAAGATATGGAAAGGTTTGGAAAGCTGGATAAATAAAAACCTTCAAATACAATTACAATTTTCAAAGGAAATGATAATACTTGGAATGAATGGAAAAAATAATAACTGTATAAATGTTGTTATTATATTAGTAAAGGAAATTATCTATAGAAATAGTAAACAGAAAG